ATCCAATAGCAGGCTGGCTATTGCTCCCAGCAATAAAGTAAAAAAAAAAGTTTTAAAAGATAAAGTTAAATAAACTAAAATTAAAAAAGACTAAAAAATGAAAAAAGTTAAATAAACTAAAATTAAAAATAGAAAACAATTCACATTATTTTAAATTCATGAAACTAATTAAAATGTCTAATATAGTATATACATTTATTTAAAATAAATATATATATATAGTGGGAAAAGTCCTTTTCAGTTTCGGCCTGACAAATGTTGCTACAGGAGGTGTGCTGTGGTGCCATTCATTCAATGTATCCCAAATGCACCTCCTGTCCGCAGTGTGATTGCACGCACTGGAATGCGCGCTACTGCAATGCCCTGCGTTCCAGTGCAGTGCGATTGCAAACAATGTGCATACTGTTTTATTCTGAAGTAAACTTTATGTCTGTAAAGCTGCAATATGTGTATTTTATTTTAAATAAATGACGGTATTATTTTTTTATTCTATCTGATTAATTGAAGTTAATAATCGGCTTACTAATCGATTATAAAAATAATCGTTAGCTGCAGCCCTAAATCTGACAGTTTAAATATAAACAATTGGGCGGAGTTAGCGGTGACATTGCCGCTAGCTCCACTCAAATGTTTCCTATTGGCCGACAACTGGAGTCTTCTAGCAGGTCCTGGGCAATAAATAACAACTAGGCGGCTTCACCCAGTTGTTATTGTTTAATGACAGATCAGCGTCTCCAGGTCATTTGGGGACGCTGATCTGTCATTACAACTGGGCGGAGCGAGCCGTGAGATCAGGGCTGGCTATGCCCAGCCGTCATTTGCGTGGAGATCATTCAGCTTCAGCCGACCTTTCTCCACACTTCCCGTCACTACGGCTCAGCCGAGCCGAAGCATATGGGTTTGGCACGGCTGAGCCGCTCACCTGCCTTCGGCTGCTGTACGTGCTATTGTGAATCCATACAGCAGCCCTTCGGTTCGACTCAAGCGAGTCAAAGGATCAGCCGAAGTTATGGCTGGATCCTTCGGCTCGGTAGTGAATAACCCTGTAAGATTTCTGGCCTTCAAGATCAAGACTTGGTTCCCTGGGGCCTTCAGATCCAGGTTTTCACTAGTTTAAATCAGGTAGATGAGCAACTTAACCCCTTCTTGACCAGTGACGCACAGTGTACGTCACTCGGCCCGTTAAAACAGACTGCCGCTGGGACTCTGTTTACATTTGTTAAGCAGATGGCCGGCTTTACAGTAGAAGCGATTCTGGCAAGTTAGCTGTTGCCACATCGCTTCTACAGGCTGGTAAACACACACACCCCTCCTTTCCCCCCGCCATGTTTCCCAGGCTCCACTGCCCCTCCTACTGGCCCGGGACTGGCATCTCAGGTGTCGATGGGAAGCTGGGGAGGAGACTCTCTGAAACTCCGTTCACCGATCTCCTCCCCGCACTATGGGACCGGGAGCGATGCAGATTACATAACTTCTGGACCTACAGCTGTCATTGCTGGGCTCTTGAAGCCTAGCAAAAAGCTATTGAAGTGTGATGTGCACTTCAATAGCTTATTTAAAGTGTAAAGGTGATACTAGGGGTCTTGTGGACCCAAGTATCACCTTAAAGAATACCTGTCACTGCCAATATACTATCACATGGGTGGCTTGTAAGCCCCCTATGTGATAGCAATTAAAGTCAAGTAAAAAAAAAAATAACAGTTAAAATTAATATTAAATGAAATAAATGTAAAAATAATTTTAAAAATTTTAAAATCCCCCGCGAGCACGTGCATCTTCACATAAACAGGCTTCGGGTGCGCCTATGTATGAAAACCAATGATCGCGCTACACATGCTGTGTACCGCCGCAAACGCCAGAGTGAGACTAATATTTCTAGGGACAATATTTATGCGTATCTCTCAACCGATGACCTGTGGGGGCTCTTAAAGTGTCGTCTATGGACTTTTTTTTACTATTTTTGACTACTGAATTTTGTTGCAGTTTCATGGACGCACACAATTTTTGACCTGGACATATTGGGTATCTATTTACTCATTGTAACCTCATCTTTTATATTTTCGTTTTTTTAAATGGGTATTTTTGTGTGTTTTGGGGCAATTGAGTGCATTTTTCACTAAATTTGGGGGTTTGATAAGGAGATGCGCTAATATCGTGCAACATAAAAATTTGAAACTGCCACCATTCTACAGGGTCTTGGCTTTCAGAAAATATATAATGTTTGGGGGATTGAAGTAATTTTCAGGCCTAAAATTTGGATTATAACATGGATGCAAAGAAATGGAAAAAAGAACTCGGTCATGAAAGGGTTAAAAATGCATGGGAACATAATTTACAACAATGTTCTACACAAATGATGACACTTTTAAATGAACATTATACTAGAAAATGAAATACTTTGGATCAAGAGATCCAGCAGCTCAATTCAACCGATATGTCCCTAAGATCTTCACCTTCATTTATTTCTAAAGAAAAAGAATTGTGTATTCATATTGAGTAATTCAACAAGGAAATTATTAGAGGTAAAGAGAAAACATTCACCAGGGAAAAATGGCTTATGGTACCGGTTGAGCCTACAAATGGCCTCTGGGTAACCAAAGAAGAAATAAAACAACATTTAAACA